TAGTTCTAACACATAATTCAGGGCTAAATGTCGGCACCTAAGGTTTTGGTCATTTATTGAATTGAGGATAGCCATTTTTTTTTTTTTTTTTATTAATTTGAATATTTATAATTATTTTTCTTAATCAGGGATGAGCAACCTTTTCTTACAATGAGCCAGCTTCGCATGTACAAGATAATTCAAACACTAAATGATGAACTCAAACTGTCAACTGACAACTTGCATTTGCCTTTCTAACCTTACATAATTTTATCTCAATCCTTGATTGTCTTTCATTGTTACCATTTTGCAAAATTAATTCTTTCACAAACTTAGTTTCTTCCAAAATGTTTCATTATAAATGTGCACGTGCACCTAATCCTGAAAAAAAAATTTAAGTTAATGTATTTGTGATACAAATTATGTATGTCAACATATTTTGAAATATATTTGTTAAATCTGTGTCATTTTTAAAATTATTAATTCTGTCTATAACTCTTCCAGAGCTGTTTCATTTTATTTTTTTATCTAATTATTTGGTTGTCCAGAAAATAATGAAGGATTTTGGTTTAAAAGGGAAATTTACAACTGTTTTATTTTACCAAAATAGTCTCCGCTACTATCAATACATTTCTGCCAACGTGTTGGCAACTTATCCATTCCCTCGGGATAGAATTTCCTGTATTTAGAATTGATAAACTCCAAAAACGCATTTTCTGCGTGGTCCATTATTATGGACACTGTCCATTAATTTTTTTGGCAGTAGCGGTCCAGGTATCTAAAAAAATGAAAATCCATAGGCGAGAGGTCCGGAAAGTAGGACGGATGTGGCAGAGTTTCATACCCAAGCTCCAACAGTTTTTGTGACGTCACACGTGAGACATGTGGCCGGGCTTAGTCATGCAACAAAATGGGCTCCTTCCGATTCACCAAAGATGGCTTCATTATTGCTAATTTCCGATGCATTGCATTAATTTAGTTATAATACTATTCTGCATTAATGGTTTCTCCAGGATTTAAGAAGCTGTAGTGTATCAAACGAAATAAAGCCCACCAAACAGTAACCATCACCTTTTTTTGATGAGTTTGGAAAATGTTCTACTGCTTCTCCTTAGTCCAGCCACTGTCCAGAACGTCTACTGTTATATAGTATCCGCATTTCATCACAAGTAACAATTCTGGACGGAAAAGTGTCGTTTTTTGTTTTGGAAAAGAAGTGTAGCACTAACTTCATAACATTGTTGTTTTTTTTTTTTCAGTTGTTTAATGTGTGTGGGACCCAACTTTCAATTTTTTTTATCTTTCCAATTGCCTTGAGATGGTCATCGACAGTCGATTTGCTAAGGTTGCTAAGCTTCTCTGCAAGTTCTCGAATAGTTGTTCTGGAATTTTCTTCCAATAAAGCCCGCAGAACAAAGTCATCAAGAGAGGAAGTCCTTCCACAACCTTTGTCTTCAAAGCTGAAGTGTCCCTCCCAAAAATTTTTGAACCACTGTTGAACATTGCACTCCATGCTACTCTCGCCCCAGACTTGATTGATGTTTCTGACCATCTGGACCCTATTCCGGCCAAATTTAAACTCCTTAAACAAAATTATACAAAAATCACTAGTCGACATCTTAGTAAAGACTGAATTATTTCTAAGCAACAAAATGCTTCTCAGGTAAACAAACATTATTGTTAGGACGAGGATTAATAAGTGTTGTCATTCTTACAAATGAATAACTCAGTTAACGTAAAAAGTTTGTTATATTATATTTTCCGGACAACCCAATATTTTAAATCTCAATTTAATTGTGTAGATGCTGGGAAAATTTTTAGGCTTATTATTTATTAACAGTCAGAATGTGAAATTTTTAAAGTGTGTCATGAGAATTTTTGGTGGGCTACTGATGCAGATTGCTCATACCTTATTTAAATTATGAAAAAAACCAAGAGGCACAAACGAATATCACAACAACAAACAAGAGAATATCACTTCTGATACAAGACAGTTTTCTTTTATGTTTGTTTTTAGGTTTCTGTTATTTAATTTGATCTAATTATAAATCCTAATGGGTTGACGTTCCCTGAATAGGTTGTTGTTGTTTTGTTTTTTTTATCCGGCAAGGATGCACCATGTCCTCATTGAGGTCTATTGTGCATCGTCCTAAACTCAGTTTAAAAAGTTGCCTTTGGAAACTTGGGATCTATCAATTCACAGAGTTTAAGGTCAGTGATACGATCACATGTGCATATAACGTGATAAGCGGTCTTAGTTCCCTTTGTCGATTTGGCTAATAGTGAATTCAGAATCCAGATTTCATGTATCAATTCGAAGATGGAAGATAAACCTTTGATCATAAAATTAGTAATTTCTTATAAACCTTCTGCAATAATACAATAATAATGTATTCTAATATAAAACAGTGTGACAACATATAATTATATAATAGCAAAAAATTAAAATCAACAGTATTTTCACACCGTCTACAACCCAATAATAAACTTCAATATTCAGTAATTCTGGTAAGTTTATATCAATATTTGATATATATATATATATATATATATATATATATATATATATATATCAATATATGGGGACCCAATCTTGTAATGTATACCATTTTCATAACAAATGTCTTCTATTACCTAATAAGGTAAAGGAAATTATTATTTTAGAAGTGGACTGACATGTATTTATAGTAGGTCCTAGTATTGAGTATAAAGTTGTGTTTTGACGACAGATCTGTCCTCTTTCTAATTTGAAAACATCAAAGGGAAAATTGAGCAAGTGATGAATTTCTTTAAGCTTCATTAAGCGATTGATTGTTATGCTTGTGCTGAAGTTAGCACTACGTGCTTAAATTTGTAAAAGGCCTGATTAAAGCATTTAAATAGTAATTTTACTAACATAATTAAGTTGGTTTAAAATGTCTGCAGGAAGATGATAAATGCAAAACAATTTAACTTATATCCTAGTTTAGTAATAGAATTCTCAGCATTTATAGACTATTGTCACATTTCACTTCTTTACTTCAGGTACAGTTTTTGAGTTTGTTTGGGATCATTGATTAAAAAATAATAGATTATCAAATATAACAAAAATGTTAAGGCTTGAGCTGGTGCAGAGAAACAGAGTGGCCTAACTGATTTTATGGACCTACATTATCAAATAATCATACAAGGTCTGTGGCCTGATGCGCACATCCCATAAACCATAAAAACATTAGAAAATTAAAAGTTTTATTTATCACTTTCATAAGCCATAAAATAACTATTGTAAACTGCTTTTATCTTATAAATTATGATCATATTGTCAATGATGTAGCAAACTCAAAACTAAACACGGGCTCATTAATTTAATGAGCAAAGAAAATTGGTCTTTGTTACGTAATAATTTTCTTTCAAAATATTGATAAAGTTACAACTTATATTTTGGTTAGATGACTTCCATGAGCCCATGGAATAAATGTCTTTTATCTTCGCATTCTAGTTAGAATAGATATGGTTGTCATCTTTCAGTAAATTTTAGACAGTGTCTTTTTTCTACAAAATAATGATTCTTTGTGTAATTGATATCCATATTTCTATTCTTAGAATAAAAATATGTCGATGCCTTAGTTCAAAACTAAAACAATTCAAGGTTATTAGATAAACGAACTCAAACGTTTTGAACAAACTTAAAAAAATTAAATAAAATATTCCATAGTGAAACATCAACTGTTACACTGATGCTGAAGGCATTTTGAAATAGTGCAATTTTGTACCAAGGTCTATAAAATTACCTGTTATAATAACAATTAAATTAAGTAGTTTTATAGACCTTGGTTGTTCAAAACTAAGTTCAATATGAAGAAGAGTTTACAAGCCATAAGTATCAGAAGAAAATGGTAAACCATTGATTTTATAGTTGTTTCAGTTTTGAATTGAGCTATCGACATATAAACTTAATTTAAATTACAAAACTAATCTGAAAATTATTAATAGAATGATTCAGATTAGACATATAGTTTCTTAACCGTAGTAATAACATTTTAAAATTTATATATTAATAATAGTTATCTAAAATATTGATTAGAGAATAACATTAATAATATCAGCAGGTCAAGTCGTCAGTTTTTATCTTCCTTTAAATTATTTTTTTCATGTTAACGTTTCATGGAATACTTATCTCATCTTCACAACTTTTAGAATAAACTCAAGAGATATTTTGCCTATATTTTTATGTCTCTTGTTGTCATACATTATAAATTATCTGTTATAAATCTTATTTTGGCTTTTATTGATAACCAAGTATAGTTTAATGCATATAATTAAAGCAGTTCAATACCTTCTGGTTTTGAAAATGAAATACAAAGTTTATAGAGGATAATTTATATTGTATGGCAATAGTATACAAAAATATGGGTGAAATATGTCTTGAAAAAATTTAATTTCTGAAGATGAGATAAGTGTTTTCTGATAATACAGATTTTCAAATGTAAAAATCACCTTACGTATATATACTTTTTTTTTTAGTATTAGAGCTATTAAATTTAATCAATAATAATCACTATCCATAGTGGTTTGGAGATATTGCTTAACGTTTCTAATACTAAACTTCTTTTGCTTTACTTTTAAAATCTCAAGTTTCATCGTTCAGCTGCAGCAGAGTAGTAAGACATAGGTTGGTCTGTTATCAATTTTTTTTTTTAAGTTTAAAGAGTTTAAACTTTATATTTCCCTAAATGAAAAATTCAGCACTTTAAAATAAAGTTTTATCCTAAGCTTTTCAATGAACACTTAAAATCTGCTTCAGAGTTTAGGAAAAGAACATGGGAATATTTTTCTTAAAAATCAGATGTAGATAGAAATCTCTAATTTATTGTAGTATTTATAGTTTGAAATGGCAATTGTTATTTGCTTGAGTATATTTGTATGATGTTGTAAGCTTTTTAATGAAGATAACCACTAGTTACATTCTTTATTGCTAATTACAGAACAGCTTTTTTTATTTGATATGGATTTAAACTAAACATGTTTATTATTTCTTTTAGGGCTTTGTGGAAATGGGAAGAAGACCTTGAGCTAAAACTACTCAAGAAGCTGTGGTGACATTCGAAGCCCGTGCGGAGCATCGTGCGGGACACCTCAGCCATTCGCAGACAGTCACACATGGATTATTTGTAATGGACACTCAATCCTCGAGCCACACACACATACGTCTTATCTTCTCCGTGATGAAATACACTCACTCCTAGCCTGTAAGCTGATATAACTCCGTCTTAAATTATATCTGTTACATAATTGTGTGAATGGATGTGTGTGACTCCAGCCGATCAAGAATATTGTCTGTGTGTTCTAGAACATTCGGTCCCAAAAATCTAGGGACAAGTGCCATCATAGAAAAACCCCGTTTATTGTAATTGTACCGCAGTTATTTTACAAGATATATATATAAACGCATATTTATATATATATATATTTAATAATAGTGTAATACGTGAATAATTGTTTATTGTTTAATTTTTTAAATCTTTTGTTTTTAAATATTTTTTTGTACAGTAAGTTTCCCCTAGAGTTATATTTAATATTTATTTTATTATGAAAGCGGATTGAATCGTGTTTAAGCACAACCTACTTAAACAAGCCGGGGGGTTGCGAAAGCTACAACAAGGCTTGAGCTGGTGCAGAGAAACAGAGTGGCCTAACTGATTTTATGGACCTACATTATCAAATAGTCGTACAAGGTCTGTGGCCTGATGCGCACATCCCATTGATTTTATTTGTTTTTATTTAAATTGACGTGCAAGGATCCTTTAGAAATTGGTTACGTTGTGCCATTTCTTTTCAGGTTTTAACGATTCCTGCAACACTGATGAAAATTATAACAAAAAAAAAAATATTATAAAATATGAAAATTAAGAAAAAAAAATTAATAAAATTTAAAATACTTTACAGACATCATCCCATCCTTGAATCAAAATGACTATATTAGATGTATAATTAATAAAAATATATATACATATATATATATTTGATGATTTGTTATAACGATAGTCAGCGAGTCAGTGCTGTACTATTAGATTTACTACTATGTAAACTCTGACATGCCTTTAGGACTGTATAAGTGTTTATTTAGTGCAAATGTAATAATTCGAGATTATATTTTTCTTATGAAAGATGTTATATCTTTAAAAAGTGAACTTGAAAAGAGTCACGGTGAGAAAGTGAATTTTGTGATGTTGATGTATAAAAAGGAGTAGTCTGCCCTTCTTGAGCTGTGTAATATTTATTACAAAGTCACAAAAAAAAAAAAAAAATATAAAAGAAAAAAAAAACAGAAAAATTTATAAAATCAATTTTCTGATGAAGGCATCGAGTTGACTCCAAATCGGTCCAAGCTCAAATTTTTAGTATAACTGTGACCAAGAGAAATAGTTTGTTATTAATTTAAATTATTTTTTAGTATTTAAAACACCAACCAGAATGCTTTCATAATGGCTCTTTGTTATAATTCTATACTCGTTTGTTATCAATGCTGAACCTTGTCCTGTTTTAGGTACAAAAAAAAAATAAAGCATAAAATGTATTATAAAAATATAAAAATTTGAATAATTCTGTTTTATCAAGATCAATATACCTTGTCCCTTATTCCATCTCCTGTTTCCTTTTGAATTTTAAGTTGATTTTATAAATGATAGCTCAGGCATATTTGAATTAAGGCAATGAAACCAGTTTCTACATTTTCTCATACCAACCACATCATCCAATGAGGTATTGTTGTAAGTTATTTATTTTTTTAAGTATATATTGAATTTTTAAATATAAGTAAACTGGGTATGCTCTATATTACAACCTATAAGTTATGGTTAATTTAAAGTTAAACATTCTTTGAAGTTGAGCAAAGTGCCCAGACAAATATCTTTCTTGCCAACCAACTTGGGGGACTTTCACTAACCGATATTAAATATTATTTCTACTAGTTTATATTTTTATTATAGTTTATTGTGTGGATTATTTTAAAATAATTAAAATGACATATTTTAATGTGGCCAAAGGGTTAACACCTAATTAGCTCTTTAATCATAATTGTAATTTGAGGTGAAGGTTGGCTCTGTAGTTTGTCTACAACTATTAACTTTGCTGTTATCTACCACAATAATTTTTGCTTAATAATTCTCACTAAATATTCTACCATTTTAAGAATAAATTCTGAAATTGTTTTCTCCTACTATTTTTAAGTAACTTTAATACCATGAAACAATTTAGTATAATAATCACTCCACAGATTTTTATTAAATTAAGTATTTAAAAAACAGTGCTTTCTTGAAATCATTTTTTGTAAAAAAAAAAATATGTAAATGGCAAAATAAATATTTTGATAACAAAAAGTGATTAAAACCAAAAACGTCTTATCTTTCTCACATGCAGTTTCTAGCATAAAGGAGTCTATCCAGCCACTTTTAGTTGCTTAACTACTTCATTTGGTTGAGGGGGAAACCAAGAACTTCAATAGTGATAAAAGTAATTATGGAAAACTGTTATAATTGAATCATGGAAATACAAAAGCAGCCAAGTCTTCAGCAAATTTGAAATCACAACTTATTTAAAATCACTTATCTAAAATCAAAGTTCCATACTGTTATAAATTTAATCCAATGTTTTGTACAGCAAAAGTCTATGGGAGAGAATTTATCTTGTTGTTTTAAGCCTTATAACTAATTGAATTCCAGGAAATTTTTGATGACTGAATCCTATGTTTCCATGCTTCAATGTTCAGGTGCTTGCATTGAAAAATGATTACATACATTTTTTTTGAAAGAATGAAATATCAGAAAATTTTAATTTCAATTATTCAAGTTTATTTACCTTTTTCATCATTTATGTTTTCTATGTTAAACTGTTTCCCAATAGGAAATTGAATATTGAATACAAATCTATGGTCATCTCACTTTATTCTAGCAGAACATTGTTTTTTTTTTAGGGAAAAGGAAAATGTGCAACTTAATAAAAAAGTTTTAATTTGATAGTTACAAATTCTGTATGCTCATGAGAAGGGCATTCTATCTTGAATATTCTCATTGGATGGTGATATACACCCTATATATTTCATTTGTGGGTAACAGAAAGTAAAAAAAGTTTTATATCCAAACAATTGATTTTTATATACCAATTTCTTTTTCTTGACAAATAAACCTTCCTGTTGAAGATAAAGAAGTTTGATTATGTTTCAGAACTTAGCAACAGTTTTTGCTTGCTAGGAAGATGCTAATAAATAAAATAATGTTAAATAGCAATATTTTTTAAATCTTTACAGAATAGAGAATATCTGATGAAATCAAAATTTATTATGTTAGGACTTCGGTAACATAAGAATATACCCTTATATCGAATAAAGACGAAAAACCTAAATAAGTCAAAACGCAGTGGCGTAATCTTAAAATGGACGTCATTTTCAAAATCTACGGCTCCAGAAACATAAGAATACACCATAATATCGAATAAATCCTCAAAACACTAGTAAAAACGCAGTGGCTTAATCTTAAAATGAAGATTGTTTTCAAAATAATAATAATAATACTAGACCCTCCTATCAAATGAATCCTAATAAGTACAATAAATCGATAGCCGAAAGATTAACATAAAATCGACAGTATTTTGAAAAACTACTTAGGGGAGTATAATAATAGACCCTCATATTGGAAAATGGCCCTTATTTCGAAAAAATAAAATAAAAAAATCGATACTTTAATTTGAAATGGGAAAGGTTGAATTTGAATTGAAAAGGTTTAATTTGATTTGGAAAAGGTTGAATTTGGCTTGGAGAAGGTTGAAATTGACTTGGAAATGCTATATATTAACTTTTTTATAGCTCATGAGTTCTGCTATCATTCCTTTAAATAATTCCTTCTACTTACCCGACACCCTGTACATGGTTTTAGACATGTAAAAAACAAATTTGCTAACAAGGGTCAGCAAGAGAAAACTTTTACAGCCAGATTTATGCGATCATTTTTTTTTTATCTTTTACTACTAAACAGTGCATCGAAGCGAAAAATTTATTATTTAAAAAATTAAAGAATGTTAAATTGTGCGTCGAACAAGTACCTAAATTTAGTAATTTGATTATGTATGGTCGATAACCAAGGTCAACGAACGATATTTTTTACCAAATTTATCAAAAAACTGAGACATATTACTATAAATAGCTCTGCAGCTTGGAAATGAGTCCTGAAAGAGAAAAACTAATAGATTAAATTCCAATTCCGATCGTATGCAGATTTCCATCATCGGAAACCAAATAATTAGTACCTAACTACATTCGTTCATGAACAAGTTCCCAACAGCAGCTATTTTAAGAGAAAAAAAAAACACTTTCTAATAAGAAATATACAAATTATTATCGTGACAAATATCATGAATCGCATGGATTTTTCAAGCAGTCTATATATACAACTATAGTCGCTGGAGGTTGCAATACGTCCAGATCTATTGGAACTGAATCAAAACTGGGTCCAGGAGGAAAACCATATTTTCTTATAAAGTTCTAAATAAAGTTCTTTTTTTTTTTTTTTTTTTTTAATGAATTAATTTTCTTCCATCATTTATTTCACTTGAAGACTCAGTTCGGGGTCGGCAGGGATCCTCCCCCCCCCCCCTCTCCCCCCGGCTGTATACGCAGTACTGGTCACGGTAATAATTTTTATTTTAATGAAGGCCTGAACTTTGGGCCGAAATATCGACAAAATAAAAATAAATTTACTTATTTATTTCTACTATTGTTTTTACTGATCACCCTAACCATTCTCCTCAATTATTCACTGCAGTCAACAATCAGTCCACAATAATCATTTTTTTTTAATATCATATTAGAAAATTTGTCTTAGAGGATGATTTTTTCTTATATTTCTCTTTTCTCTAAATAGCTGTTTTTTGGAACTTTTTTTTTCGAAATTATTTCCCACCATCCGAGGGATTCTGCGCGTCCCCTTGCAGAAATTGCTAGTGCTGGTCACGATAATAATTTCTTTTGTTTCCTCACTACCGAAGGTAGGGAAGGGAAGCATTGTATTCGTGAGAAGCGTTAAGAAAAAGTTTGTGCTCAGAATCGAAAATTTCCACTCGCGATTTACGTTTCAGAAATCAAGGATCAAATTTGGTTCTTTGTCTGTCTGTAGTCAAATCGATGTGACGGATATATCACCTAGTACCGTTCGTCCGATTTTCATGCCTTTTTCAGGGATTGTGCATGTGGGTGCCTAGATGGTCCCATATCAATTTTATCAAATTCCCTACGCAAGCGGAAATATATTTTTTTAGATAGCCCCAATATTTCAGAAAAGGCGCGTTCGATATGGCTCAAAGTTGGATACAACGTAGGGTATTGGTGAAACAATAATGTAGTGTCAATTTTATTGAATTCTGTCCATTACTTTCTCCTACATATCTAGTCCTGCCATGAATTGTTACTAGGAAATATATACAGATTTAAACAGAAAAATTATTTTTTTCAAAAACTTTATTAGAAAATAGAATGGATGTCTATAGAGAGTAAAAAATAAATAAATAAATTCCTCAAAATGTTTCCCTTGTGCATTGACACAGGCATTTAATCTCCGTTGCCAGTCATCAATAGCAGCGCGCAGAACTTCTTGAGGAAAGCGCTCAACTGCTCGGACCAGAGATTGTTTGATGCTTTCCAAATTAAGATGTGCTCTGTGACATGCCATCCTCTCCAGTTCGAACCAAAGCCGATAATCTAGTGGGTTGAGATCAGTGCTTCATGAGGGCCAATCCGAGGCAGAGAATGATTCTGATATGTTCTTTTGCAGCCACTGCTGAGTTGGCCTGACCTTGTGAGCTGGAGCGGAATCCTGCTGGAAAACCAAATGACTTCCAGCAAACAGAGTATCATTTAGAGGCTTGACAGCGTGTTCCAAAATATCGTCCTGATAGTATTTAGCTGCTGTTTAACCCATTTTTTTTCACAAAAATGGAGTTTTGTGGCGCCATAAAAGCAAACTCCCCACCAAACCATCACTGAGGAAGGGTGATGACCTCTTTCCACTCTTCCGATGACTTCCTGGGCTTCTTTAGAGCTGTGTGTATATACACGATCATTTTGGTGATTAAAAATTAAGGAAAGTGGTTAATCTTTGTCCTGTCATTCTTCGAAATGCATCCATCCTAAGTTCACTTTTTATTATGCGAGACATTAAACTGACAGCGTCTTATACAGCTGTAATTATGTTTTCCTTGTGAGATACTTGCTCATTAAATGTCTTCCTAGCCCAATGTAACATTAGTTAGCAATGACTTTTCTCCTCTCAATTTCCTTTGAGATGTCATTTCCCGCAGTTATCAGGGATCCCAGGTAGACGTACTCATCCACTTCTTCAAACTTATAGGAGCCTTACTGCACATTATCTGCCAAGATACCAAACTCAGAGATCATATACTTGGTTCTCAAATCATTTACACGAAGTCCCAGTTGCCCGATTGTTGCTTCTAGAGCAAGGAAAGCCTCAGGACTGCAGCCTGGGATCTACCGACGATACCTAGATCGTCTGCATAACCCGGATCTCAACCATTCGATTAAATTCTGATCCTGTTA